GGGTTTTCTGTGGAAAATATCAATGATCCTAGCAAGCTTTAACAAAAAAGCCTGGTTTGCCTCATTGATCAAAATGTGTGTATTAAAACAAGTAATATGTCAATGTGCAAAATCTAAAATCAATCATTAAATGAGTAATAATCTAAAAATGTAAATTTGACATCTGCCCACCACTTGTAGATTCCTTTGTAAATTCATTGTAGGTTTATTATGCCACAGTAGGATAGCACCATCTCCAGGTAAATGAGAGAACAATCTCTGACTAACTGTTCATATCAAATCAGCATCAAGCAGGAACAAAGTAGCTTGTACACTAGATAAGTAGATACATCTGCAGTGAAAGACCTGTGATTTGAGCTGAAACAATTAGTCGAACAGTTACTTACAATCGGCTGAATAGCAGATGAGTTTTACAACTAGTTGAATAGTACATCGACAGAAAGCAAATAAATGCCAAAAGTTTTCTGGGTTCGGCTTTTCAAATGTGAATATTCTCTGGTTTAATTCATTATTTTTCTTTCTTTATTGTATGACACTGAATATTTTCATGTCAGATTTTTGCGCTGTTGGTGGGACATTTAAAGATGTGACATTTCGTGACCAAACAATTAACAAATAGATTGAGAACATAACCAGTAGATTTATCAATAATAAAAATAAGTATTAATTTGCAGCGCTACTTGTGATATTAGAATTACCTGCCGCCTTTTTGAGTTTCATCCACTAGTCCAATAAAATAGGCCATCATCAATGAGCACAATTTGTTCTTTTAACCTTAAATTAATGTCATCGTTATATCAATACATTACATAAATAAGACAGGATGAGATAGCAGAGCAAGTATGATAAGGGATTGTTTTAATTTAACTAGTAGACACTTAGATGGATAGATGGTTTAACAACATATGTGACACTCAGGAGGAGTCAAGTCTCAAGTATAAGCTGGATATCAATGAGGAATGTTTCTAAAAGGAGCTCTCCGCAAAGGGGGAGAGCTGGACTAAGAGAACACAAAAAAAATGACCTGGAGGTCATGTAGTTTCAAAAACATGTAGTTTGCAAAAACATAAATAGGAGAGCAAGGCAAAAGACAGAAAACATCAAAAGCCTGTGGTTCAAAGCATTCAGCTTCAGGGAAGCTCCTTCAGCTGATCATTTTGCTTTGGAATAATGGCTCACTGGATCCTAGCAGACTGTTTCTGAATTGGCTTTTAAAAGATAATTAAAAGTTTAGTGTGATTTCATGAGCTCACCTTAGAGAATAAAAAAAAAAACCGTCCAGTGGCATAGTGGTTAAGGTGGAAGTTCGATTCCAGCTGGGGACCTTTGTTGCATGTTGTAGCTCTGTCTCTCCCAAACTTTCTCTCTCTCCACTGTCACTGTTATCAAAAAGACAAAAAAAAGGAAAAACATCTATAAAATCAAAAATAATACAAGTCGCTAACAAAAGCCAAGTAACGCTTATGAGACATTTCTGTTGAGATTCAGCAATATCAATGTGCAAGGCCTTGATTTATGGTGGTCAGGCATTATACTTCAAGGTGAAACTTGACCTGGACAGAAATAAGACATAGCTTATTGTGCCGTTTTGCATTATGCTATAGCTAATAGCTACACAACTCAAAGTGGTTTAGCTTGCATCAGTGTATAATGTACAATGTTAATTTTTACTTTGCATCGCATGGAAACCGCAGGTGTTATGAACACAGAAGTAATAAACTTTGGGAACAGAGCCAGCATTAATTACACCAATTAATCACACCTGTGATCTTAAATAGCTTACGTTAACTAGCTAGCTAGATGAACTGTTAGCCCCGTTCAGCTGCAAAAATGAGCAATTAAAATTCTGGTTTTAAAAACATTTTTCAAGGATTATTTGGTCCGACATTAGTCTATAATAAGCTTGCCCCTACTTCACTTCATATAAACATATGCAACTACATTTCAAAACATTTTGTAGTGTTGTACTGTACACTTTGGAGTCACTAGCTAACCTTACAAGCCAAACTTTAAAACACCAGATTTGACAGCCTACCTCGGTTTTTAAGATATTTTTGGATTCCTCAAACACTTTTCTATCAACCTAGGACAAAGAAATGTTTTTGGTCTGCACAGTAATGAAAAAGTAATGTTAGCTTTTTCCTCCAAGCTTCAGTTGCTGCTAAAAGCTGTATTTGCGTCAGAAATGCAGCTATTTGCGTCATTCTGCAAACATGCTACAGGCACGTTTTAGACTTTTAGCGTCTTTATCATAACTCAAAATTACAAAACAGGATAATTTGTCCTCTGTCCTTCAAAATGTCCTCCAGCTGTCCCTCTGCTCTCGAACTATTAGTCCCAAACAATCATCTCACTACAGCATCTGCTGAGCAGACCAGACTAATTAATCAATCCCCAAACTGAATATTAAACAAACACTCATGAATTATTTGACATAAAATGAGAAGATCAGCAATATGTGAATAGACTAACGAATTCAAGCTACTCAGCAGTTAATTAATGGCAAATATGGAAAACAGTTAAGAGTTAAATCAACATCAGGATCAATACATTAAACCACACTACAGTAACATTAGCAAACATTACTCATAAACTGGGCTGTTACTTGGTTATTTTCTATTTTTAAAGTAAACTAAAGAAAAAACGGTGGGTAGAAAAATCACCAACCCTATAAAGTGTAACGCATTACACTTAATGTAATGTCTTATGTCACGTATAAAGTTGATTTAGAACAGCAAACAAGCTCTACACCATAGGTGTCCGGTTAAACTGTCCAGTTACTAAAAGCTAATACACATCTTCCTACCAATCAGAATCCAGAATTTTCAGTGGTCATGCTATAATTTAATATAAAATGTACGTCTCACAGTGTTAAACTATATGCCTATACATTACATCATGGTTGGATTATTTTGGTGAACTGTTATTGCCTTAGTATAAACTAATTACACCATTACACGTTTGCACAATCTTCCCTGTAGCTTTAAATTTTTTTCTTTTTTTGCAGTCAAGTGCAAACCAAGACTCCCAGTGACCCTTTAAATGTTCACCATTTGTTTTTATTTATGCTCAATTTGTGTAATTTCATTTACTGCATTTATTTTGGAATATGCAGCACTGAAGCACAATGTCTGCTGAAATAATAGGGGCTTTAGGAATCCTTCTTGACATCCTGTCATGTCAAGGGACCTGTGTTAAATCTCATGTCATGTACAGTAGAGGGTTTCCTTTACAAGACTGATAGGGGCCTATAATGCATTGTTTGCCACCCACCCTCCACTCCCCTCTTACAATGGGTACATCCAGCAACAGTCAGAAGTGATCCTGTGTACTTGTTGAAAAATTGGAGCTCTTTGTTGTTTATGGTTTAATCATTTTTACACACCTATAGTACAGCGAAAACAGTGTTCAGATGTGTGACTTCTTGCAAAGATCGATTTTATACTCAGAGCAGGCAGCAGAGGAGTTGTTTGTTGTCACTGTGTTCCCCTTTGCAACAAATGAACAAAGGCACAACTCAAAAAAAGAATCACTCCTCTTACTACTGGTCCTTGACCCCGGCACCACCTCATGTTTTCTCCTTATTTACATACAGTACGAGAGAGGGGCAGAAAATTAGAAGCACCTCTCAATACCATACTGTATGGCCTCAAAATGACAATTAAGTTGAATCAACACTTCTCTGGCACAGAGACAGCATAACTGGACATAAGTTTCACAAGGATTAAATGCAGAGCTGTGTGTACTTGACTGTATTAGCCTATATTGTACATGTGTAATTAAACACTATTGGTGTAAGATTACATAATGCCTCAAATTAAATATGGGGAATTCATTTTTAAATACAATGTTAGAGCCTCTGTATGCTGCTTGTTACTTCATACTGAGGTATTTGTATCTCACTTCTCTTTAAAAACAGATACAGTAAAACCATGTAGGCTACTCCTTTCTTCTAGTTTTCAATCTTATTTACAAAAATACTCCCCCATTAGAGTGATTAATGTGTTATGAAATGTCTCTGGCATTAATACAAAGGTCTGGATTAGGCATATTAATATATTATATATATCATACATTTGTGTGGTGTATGATGCATGTTGATTGCTCATTGTTTATATGCACTTCACTTAAAGGGTTGTACACATTTTACATTTTTAGAAATAAACCAGATAGTACAGGAAACATCTATTTCAGTGTAGTGACACCACTGGTGTCATATTGCTTCCTCTCACTCTGATGAATAGACTCCAGTACATCAGTGTTGAACTCTACAATAAATCCTCTGAATGCTAATCCATGAGCAACTGAATTGAATTGAATTATGCAGAGTGGCCATAAAGGGAGCAGAAGTAGGACAATGCATCTGATACAGATAAGAGTCCATACAATTATTTAAAGTGCTATAGGGCAGCATTATGCAATGGAAATAGTCATGGTTACCAGGGTAACATGGGAAGAAATACTGGGTATTAATTCATCTAAATGTGTGATAGGTTATTGAAATCACAACAAGCTACACAAGTGAAAAATTTACACCAGGCTGAATTGTCTTTAATGTGGACCGAGTTCACTTTGCATGCAGAAATTAAGTAAAAGATCTCTATGTGCTGATGTTAATAAATGGCTAGGTTTGATTTTACTAAGACTACAAATGTTGCTTCACCACAACATTTGGTGTCTTATGTCCATGTAGGCTTCTATGTGCATAACACAAATAAACAAATACTACTGGAACTGGAAAAAAAGCTGCAGAGGAAGTAGTATTTGCTTCATACAATAATTCTTTTTTCCATTCTTCTTCTTGAGAGAGATGAGAAATGACTTTGCAACCTTTACTTCTGGCATTCTGGCAAAAAACAAGTATTCACTGCTTATGCTATTCAGTGTATTTAGCCTGTGTGGTTTTTCAGGACATCATGTGCAGTTTCATGGAGTATTACATAACCTCCTGGCAGCGAAGTAGCACACTTCATGAAGCCGAGCAGCGTTGTCTGCGTCTTTAACACGGCAGGTGACACTGACATGGGAACGACTCGCCAGAGATTTAGGCGGATATCCTGTTAGAAATAAATATCCAAGGCTTTGATTTGCGTGTAGAAAAATACATTTGGTGCATGGCGCTCAGCTACAGTTGTCTGTAGGGTATTTAGAATCGCATTGATATTTCGTCAGTTCAGTGGATGTTGACGCAGCGTTATCCAGAAGGTGTGTGTCACTGTTTGCACAGATTGACGCGCACAACACGGGTTGCCTCTGCGTCTACCGCCTGTGTCCCTCCCTCTCCGGCTCGCAGCATCGCTGACAGCCCGACGATGCTGTCATAAACCGGAGAATTAATTTCCCCTTTAACGATCCTGAGGGGGTCTGTCGTATTTCTTTAATGGTTATTATGGTTGGATGCATTGATTCGTAAGTAGGCTACGGGCCTGTAATGTGTTATTGGATGCGACCCATCTCTGAGACATAGGCTGGTAAACCTGCTTGTTATAGGCTGCTGCTATTTGTATCTGGTCTGATAAGAATACGTGCGTATTTTATGTTGTGTAGCTGAGGTCGGTGTGAATAATACACTTCTGTTTCACTCGGAGGCTTTCCAAGGACATCATTGAGCGACACGGTGCGGCAGCGATGTGCACGTCTGGCGGCTAGAAAGAGCAAGCGGGAGGGAGCCTGTTTCTGCTAGTGCCTGAGTTTTCAGAGTTATCGGTGATATCCAGGGTCCAAGCGCTCTGCTTTCGCTCCTCACTTCGCTTTACCGCCTGGCTTTAGGATGCGACGTCATGAGTTGATCGCGCCTGACAGATGTTGCTGTGTTGCAGTTGCACGGGCGTAGATTCTCCTCTTGTTCTCGCTGTTTTGGGGATGATTCTGTAAAAAAAAAAAAAAAAAAAAAAAAAAAAAAAACTGTTTGTGTGCTAAATGGTCAGTCCTCGCTTTGTGCTCGGACACATCGCAACATTCATTTAGTCTTCGGGATTGCATAAAATGATACCAGGATCTGCCGCATCAATGCTACCATCTGCAGAAGCTGCGAAATTGTACCAGACCAATTACGTCCGCAACTCCCGTGTCATCGGACTTTTATGGGCCATCTTCACTATCCTGTTCGGTATTGTTAACGTGACCATCTTCTCACAGCCCTATTGGATTGGGGATGGCGTGGATACGCCGCAGGCCGGCTACTTCGGCCTTTTTCATTATTGCATCGGAGACGGAATCTCCAGAGAGCTGGCCTGCCAGGGTAGCTTCACCGAGTTCGCTGCTATCCCCTCCAGTGCGTTCAAGGCCGCCTCCTTCTTCATTGGAATGTCCATGATGCTCGTTGTCACCTGCATCGGCTGCTTCAGTCTCTTCTTCCTCCTCAGTACCTCCACCGTGTACAAGATCTGTGGCTGGATGCAAGCAGCATCAGGTAAGTGCATTTTAGTGCCTCTACAGTGGGGTGCAGGTGCTGGAAGGGACACTGAAGGGGGCTTAGAGGATAATTTACTCTCACTGCTTTCACAAAATGTAGGGAATATATCAAATAAGACAACTTTCAACTGTTATTAGGTGTGGGGGCATTTTTTTCTGTGTTGGGGACCCTTACATAATACGTTTTTCAAACCCTTGAAGTCTTGAACACTGGGATGGATTTGAATTTGATTGATCCATTGATTAGATAAATGAATTGCCAGTGGGAGCAGCCGAAGTGAAGATAAGCAGACAGTGTCCAGGATCTCTCTGGGAGCTGTCAGCCAATACTGCTGAAAGACAGTGCTGTCCATGGTGCTGAAGTTTTGCTGAGGCCGTGACAAGCATTGTATTTAGAGGCCCAATCAGTGAATGGATACACTACAGGTGTAGTCACATATGAAATGTTCCTCACCTTATCCTTTTTCAAAATGCCTCTATGTTTCCCAATACAACACTACATCATACATGCGCATGTATGCAGCTTAAACCTGAAATGATGGTAGCTTACCATTTGACTGAACAATGTAATAAAATAACAAAAGAACATAATACTGGATCGATGTCTATAAGTTTTATAATGACATTAAAAAACTAGTAACAAATTCCAAATTTCCATATTTAATTCGATTTTTCTGAGACTACATAACCACATAAAATATGCTCTGAATTACGTGTGCATGGTATTATACCGTATGGACTGTATCGATACAAAGCAGCCAAATATAATGTGAACTGTCTTTTCTTGTCCATGCAGATTAGTTAGTTACTGTATGATCTGCAGTCTGTCCTCAGCCAACAGGTCTGCGTGTGTTTGTGTTAGAGTTGGGTGTGTTGAGGGTGTTTAAATGTTGTCAACTGCTGGCAGCATTTTGTCACTGTAACTGTGGGCTAATGTCATCCAGTGCGAGTGGAGGCCTCCGTCATCAGAAATCAGAGTTGTCATCATCAGCAACATCATCAGAGTCCGAATGCCGCCAAATACTGGTTTGCTCATCTGTACCAGTGGTCGAAGCAGCTCGCTTCCTGATCGCAACCAACACAAATGAGGGGGATTATTTGGAACAACTCCAGCTCAGTGCGTTATGTTGGGCTGAATTAACGCAATAAGCCTGCCTAATGAGGAGACCGCTGGGCTTTGTGTTTCTGCAGCTAAGAGATGAAAGAGAAAGCCAAGAGGAGAGACCCTGACCACGACAGGCTGGCACAGGGATGCCTAATGAGCAAGCCTGGCTGCTTAGCACTGTCAGACTTCATTACACTTAGCTGAAGGTTAAACTCACGCTGCCTTCACTTACTAGCCTTGTGGAGGACAGGTGGCCCACTGGCATCTGTAATGGGCCCCTTACTGTCAGCTGATGTTTTGATAGGGAGGTACAAATCGTCAATATGATAGTGATAAATGGGAGGCCAGAATGTGTGTGTGTGGAGAGAAAGGGGAAGAGGTAGCAAGATTTCTTTATCCCCTATTTTCCTTCTTGAAACATTTTGGCAACATGAATGTATGACACATCTCATGCCAATAAAGTAAACTGAAATTAAAATTCACACAGTGGGTCAGACATAGCTTGTTGTATTCCATCCCTGCTGACAGACTGGTCCAAGGACATGAATGACACAGTCAGTATTCAGAGCACTGCTCTCTGCTCCGTGGCAGCGATCTTTCTCTCGGCTTCATCAATCATCATTACAGGTCTTTTTTTTCTCTCTTTGTGAGGCTACATTTCATAACTTTTTCTTTGTCTTTGGTGCAGATTTATATTGGATGACCTGTGGTATGATAGATATGGGAAAACATATAACTCTACCATGCCTCATTGAGCAAAAGGGCTATTTAGATACACCAACACAATATCAAGGTCAAACTGTATGTGTTGACCAAGACTATATTATTAAGGATATACTGTGTGCCACTCATGCAGCAGCTTTCACAAATCCCCGTAGGCTGAGGTCAGAGAGTCGTGGATAAACACTTAACAACATATAACAACTTCACGCCATTGCACAGAGCTCCTGAATCAGTTAGTGAGAGCACGCACACATCTCTAGCCATGCAGGGCGAGAGTTTTCTGTGAAGCCCAGGTAAAAATGTTGAATGTTTGATGAGAAAGCAAACCACCAGGACACATTGGAACTCTCAAAATGTCTACCACAGCCAAAACGAAGTTGAGTGCAGGAGCACTCCTGCTGCCCTAGATGGACTCGTATCCTTCTCTTTCTATCCTCGCAAGTGCTATTTCTGTCCGTGCATCTGCTCAAGTCCATGGCATGCAGATGTAAGCGTGTGTTTTTTTCCGCAGAGGTGAGCACAGCAAGAAACACGATGCACAAGCCCCTTACCTTATCTCTTTTCGTTACCTTCACACAATTTCACCCCCCTGTGCATCTCAATGCGTTTGAGTAACTCATTTTGACCTTATCCTATCTCCCGTTTCACTCACTTTTCATTCATTTTCTTTTATTTATTTCCTCCTCTCCTTTCTTCCTCTTTCCTCTTCACACCCTTGTTTCACTCAGTGCTGTACAGTATGTGCTGTTCACTTCTCTCTCCATCTGTTCTGGATGGTAACTGCAGTTCTACAGGGGTCTGTACACCAATTAACTAAGAAGACTGTGAGGTCAGTGATAATTACTTCACAGTTTTACACCCTGTCTACGTACCCTGTCATGGCGGCTGCCAGGCCTTTTCTACAATGGTTGAGATTGTTTCTTCTAAAAAAAAAAAAAAAACAGATATGAGTCATACCTGTGAATAACCAAGACGTAAGCTTTGTAGAGTCAGCAGAAAAAATGTGCAGACTGAGGGTGGCGTGTTTGGAAAGATACAGACTGTTTTGAAAGGACTGCATTTAGGGGTCAGATTTCTATTTTTCCCTCTAGTTGTTTATGTTATTCTTTGGTCTATTTCGTTTGCGTGGGCTTGAGTGTGTGCCTGTTATTTTTTCTAGAAATAATTAAGAAAGAAAAGATTTGCTTTGCTGGATTAATTAGGCAAGCAAAGTGACACAGATGCATTTGGGAACACCCTCTGCCACTTATTTGATGTCTTATACTTTAGGGATCTATTTTCAGATTGTGCACAAGCCTGTGCTTTGTGCAGCATTTGTATGGATTCTTCTGTTAATGAGCTGAAGTAAGTTTAAACATATGAAAGCTTTGCCCAGTGAGCTACTCCTGGCGTATCTGTGTCTGATTATCCAAAAGGTGTATAGTTTCTGTGCTTATACCACATGATAAACAATGTGTTGGGAGCACAGATTTGATTTTTGTATTGTGTGGAAATAATAATAATAATAATAATACATGTTATTTAAAGGCGCCTTTCTTGGCACTCAAGGACACTGTACAGAGTTACACAAATGTCAGGCTTCATTTCATTATGAAATCATATATGATTTATTGTGCTTGTCAAGAGGTTGTCATGCATATTGAGGTGTAAATTATAACTTTCATTTAGCTGCTTCAGGTTCAGGGTGCCTCTCACACTATCATGGCTTACTAAGACATCGTTAATGTTATTAGTAACACCTGCGCTTGGAATAAGCTTGAAGTTTTGTTAGCTGGTGAAATTAGTCCAGTTTAGCTTAGCTACTGAATGACCATGGAATCATTAACTACTGCACTAATACATGCGGTTTAATACTCGATAGCCAGGTGTTATCGATTTTTTTTTGTTCTGTTTGTTACATTATCATATGGGATTACTCTTGCATCTGCCTTAGCTGTGAGCACATCTCATTTAAATAGTGAAATTAGCAGCTTCACCAATAACTAGATCAGGCCTGCAACTCACAGTTATTTTCATTATTGATCAATCTGCTGATTACTCTCTCAATTAATTGTAGTGAGCAAGGTCTTCATTTTTGCTTTGTCCAACAGTTCAAAACCCAAAGATAGTCAAATTACTGTCACATAAGATAAACTAAAGCAGCAAATCCTCACAGTTGAGAAGCTGGGACTACTTACTGTTAGCATGGTAATTTTGCTTGTAAATTGACAATTATTTGATTACTTAAACAGTTTCTAGATAAATTTTGTCAAATCGACTAAACCAAAGTACAACATATACTTCAGTTAGATCAGCAAGCAGTTTTCACAGAAGTTAAACAGCCGCTTCGAACTCTCAGCACATCTTGTGATTTGAGCTTCTAAGCTGTTCTTCATTTCATGACATAACTTCAAAGTGCCTGCATACACATAATACAGCCATCTGTGATTGTTCTTCATAACTGAGGAAACGCACAATTCAGCTGTCGCATTCATTTCAGTACCTCCGTCAAGGAGGTTATGTTTCTACCGGTGTTTGATCATTTGTCAGCAGGACTACGCAAAAAGTACCCAACCAATCTGCACCAAACTTGATGGAGGGATGTGGCGTGGGTCAGGCAAGAACCCATTACATTCTGATGCGGATCCGGTTAAAGGTGGGGATCCAGGAATAGGGCACCTTTTGATATTTTTGCCAATTTCTCAGGAAATAATGTCAATGTTGATGTAAAAATCTATTAGTTTGTACAATTTGGTGCTGATCCAGATAATAATCCGCATCTGGTGGAGGAAAATGCTAAATTTTGATTTCATTATCTAACACAACAGGTAATAAAACCATACAGCTGTCTTGTGCAAGGGTTAAAGACAATAAATAGATAACGCTACTTGAGAACAAAAGATGTGCAGGGTTGTTGGCCTTGGTGGAGGTATGTGCTCTACTGAATGCCCTTTTAGTTGCATATATATTATTGTTTGAACCAGCATGCTGGCACAGCAAAAAGAGCCTTCAAGACAACAGCTAAAATCGACTTTATATAAAGATGGATCAAAATCAAACAAGAGGAATCAACACATCAAAACGTTAAACTTTTGTTGTCTGACAGAAAGGAGCGTGGGAAGATAAAGGAGAAACAGAGATGACGATAAAGAAAATAAAAGGAAGATAAGATGTGAAAGGACAATATGAGA